GCTACAAGGCTCTTAATGATCATCATGTCCTCCTGGAAGGGACTCTGCGAAGCCAAACATGGTCACTCCTGGTTCAGATTCAGCCAAGGTGGCTCATGAGGTCATTGCAGAGTACAACGGTGCGAACCCTACTCAGGACCGTTCCGGCTGCCGTGCCCGCCATCGTGTTCCTCTCCGGCGGACAGAGCGAGGAGGAGGCGACTCTAATCTGAATGCCATGAACAAGCTCAAGGGAAGAAGCCATGGTCGCTTTCATTCTCATTTGCCGCGCGCTGCCAGCAGAGCACACTCAAGGCGTGGCGGGGAAGGAAGAGAATGTGAAGAAGGCGCAGGCCGCTTTTCTCTCTCGTGCAAGGCGAACTCCGAAGCAACACTGGGGAAGTATGGCGGCGATGCCGCACTCGGAGATGGAGCCTCGGAGAGTCTCCATGTGAAGGATTACAAGTATTAATTCTGCTGCTTTGTTCTGTTGCAGGGAGGGAATGAGGTATTCTGTTTTTGTTTTTATGATTTCTAAATACTTTCTTATGTTGCTTGCGTGCTCTGCTGTGCTGTGCTGTGTTGGTATGAGCCCTTAGTTGTTTCCTCATAATGAAGTGCTACTCTTCTGGCAGTGTTACATTGAGGATTTCTATATGTTGAGGTGTTTTGATGGAATAATGGATTGTAGAGATATATAATTAATATTTATGCAGTTTATGCAGTTTTTGATTGATATTTCTTTGATTTTTTGTTTGCTAGGATTTCCTGATTGCTGTTTTGAGCTGGTTTCATTTGACAATGTTGTATGTTTTTTGTTAGATATGTTGGCAAATATATGAGCAAAATATATCCTCTGGTTTAAAAAAAGATATTTATAATATTTATAGTATTTTTTTAAAATAATTTTATAGTTTGGGCTCAAGAGATGAGAAAAGTAAAGATGTATTCAGGTGAAGTGTATATAAGGATGAAGATAAAAAAATATTTTTATTAGAAGTATTTTGGATGAGGAATTTTGATAAAATTTTAATGAAGATTATGAGAATACGATTAATTTTATTGGTGTTTTTAGTGGCCATAAATGAAAATAAAGATTTTATTTTTATCGTTGTATGAATAAAATTGAAGTTAGAGAGGATTTAGAGAAAAAAAAATATGAAGAATAATTGAACTTTATGATATTTTGATGATATTTTAATAGAGATGTGAAAATACTTATAAGATGTTAGTGAGTGGAGGAGTATGTTAGTTTTTATTTTGAGAATAAAGATATGAATAAGAGTATGAATTATAGAAGAATTAAGTTAATATTATACATTAAAAGCATGGAGAATGTAATTGAATATAAGTTACTACGTTATACTAATATTTCTCAAAATTAATTTGGATTTATGATGGGTAGGTCTATTGTAAAACTATATATTTTTTGGGGTTTGATGGAATAGTTTAGAGAGAATGAGCAAGATATACATAGATATTTATTGATTTAGAGAAAGTATATGATAGTTTCAAGTCATTAAGTATATGCATATAGGAGCTATTACTTGTGTTTAAACACAAGCATGATTTGACAAATTCTTTTCTATTTTAGTTGAATTACATCAAGGATTAACTTTAAACCCATATCATTTGCTTTAATAATGGATATTTTTATTAGACATTTGTAAGAGGATGTATCTTTGTGTATTCTTTTTGTTGATGTTTTTATTAGAAAAAAAACTTGAATTATGGGAATCAATCTATAAAATAAATATTTTTCATTTGAGTGAGAACGACTGCTTGTGACTTTGGGCGATAAAGTTATTAAAAAGAGTATATATTTTAGATATCTCAATTTTATTGTTCAAAGTGATGGTGAAAAATGATTCACATAGCTGACTCCATGTAGTTGTAGGAAAACTTCTTGTTATTTTAGTATAATTGCATAACTATCTCATAAAAAAATTATAGCAGTTACAAATAGATCCTGAGATTCAAATATTTTGAAATGCTTTTAGCAAAATATTGGTGTGCAAATTGAGAGAGAGGTACAAAGACAATGAAAAAGCTATAGAAGTGAGAGCTCCTCTCATTATTTTTAGTTTTTTTTTTTTCCTTTAAACTTCGCATCTCTCTTGCCTATGGATAAAATCTATTTTATTTTTTTGTCATTTAGTAGTAGATAAGCTCTAATACAATCAGCCAAAACTAACTAAAATAGAGGTGAACAAAAAACTAACGAGTTTTTAATATTCAAACATTTTTAACAAATTAAAGTCATAACCAAATCTTACCCTAAATGATTTTTTTAATGAATTGAGGAAATTATAATGGCTTATATAAATTACAAATGTTATTAGTGCTGTCATATATATCTGTGTGAATGGAGGGATCATTATGTGTAGAACTGAAATTTTGATCACTATTATTTTCATATTTTACAAAGCAATAAGAAAGTCGTCCAAAGAAACCAAGTTGTGTCTCATAGGAAGTAAGAGGAAACTTAGGCTTCATTTTTTTACTGCTTATAAAATAATTCTTTGTAAAAAATGTTTTGAATATGAAAATTTTGTACGAGAAAGCTGCTTCATAAAGCAGTAAGAAAGTTATCCCACTGTAAAACTTCTGCGTATCATGAAGTAAGGTGTTGGTCGATCTTTCATTCCTCATGAATCCAAAAGATTTCTCAATATTAGGACTTGTGGTTATCAATTATGGAAAGAATATTGCATGGAAACTCTTTAATACTCATTTCAAAACTAATCAATAATTTTGAATCAAACTTAGACCAACATGTTACAATACTGAACAAAAAGGCTCAAAACATAAGCCATTTTTACTTGAATTAGTGGAAAAAAGAACATATAATGATTTACATTTGTATGGCTCTCTTCAGTTTACTTACATGTTACTGTAGCCACAGAAAAGGCAAATATTTGTAGTGGAGCAAATTTTAAAAATTCACTGGGAAGGTCAAGGTAGTATGCAAGGCAAGGAAAAAACCCTAAAAAAGTCCAAAAATCACCAGAATTTTTCCCTCCTCTAGCCTAGACCAACACAGGAGATCCTTATTCTTCCATTAAAACTTCCACTACCTCTTCTGGAAGTTTAAGAACTTATAGAATAGGCGAATACGAAGGTGAAGACGAAGACAAATGCGAAGTGAACTAAGGCCACATAGCAGAGGAATCATGCTCATATCCTAGCTTTAATTCAAGAAAGTTTTGACATCTAAGCTAGGCTCTCCTGTATTTTCTACTTTGTTATCTAATTCCCCCAGCGAGACACAAGTAGACCATAAATGGTCCAGGACACAGGATTAGCCCAGAACATCCACCTCCACCACACAGGCATCATCTTTTAAGGTAGATAAATTAACAGATTTCAATATTAGATAGTAGGGATTAAAGATATATTAAAGCAAAGAAATGGCGTACCTTTCGCGGCAAAACGAAACCGCAGAACAAGTTCCAGAAGCTGTAAAAGAAGGAGGATACTACGCCGGCGACTTGGTAGCTTGGAGTTAGTGCACAGCCATCATGCCGTATAGTGGAATAGATGAAGCACATGAAGGTAAGGAAGAAGAACCAGAAGAACTTGTCTGCTCTCCATCCAAAATCCATCATGGAGAACAGGAGAAGGGTGTAAACAAAGCTCTGGACAGCATATAGATTGCTTCAATGCTCACTGAAAAAAAGCAAATTTTGTAATGGTACAAATATTGAAGGCTTTTTCCCAAAACCATTAAAAACATCATGAAAAGAATATGCTCTTTTACTGGTATATTTTACTGTTCCTCGCAAAAATTCATTTTGCATGATTAGATGAATTTACAGGTGAAAGATAGAGTGTAGTAGTAGTATTTACTTGAGCAAATGCGTATGCCAAGGATGAGTACATGCCAGCTGCCCTTTCACGAATAAAATACTGTGCCTCTCCAATTGCCACAACAGGTTGCACGGTATTAGCATTGGTAGCTCAAGAAGAAAACAGCAGCATAAATTGCACCATTAAATTGAACAGTCCTGTTGTTTGCTTCTGTTTGACCAGTAAAGCGGTGATCTTTCATGAGTTTACAGTATACCTAAAGGATGATATCTTGAAATAAAAACATAACAGAATGTAGATGCTACTGAAATTTTGGCTCACAAGTCATCCAATTATGATAATTGTTTTACGTTCATTCTAATTGCTAAATTCTGGGTACAACAATCAATGATAAGTAAATAATAATAATAATAATAATAAGTATCAGAGAAAAAAAGGTT